CCCAGCCAAGGCGCCACCTGTGGAGTCGCGGCGGAGGGAGAAGGAGCCGGCGGCCACCATCCCAGCAGGAGCCGGCAGGCCACACTCCACCCCTCCAGAATGCGTCCAGGAGGGTGAACCCCACGCAGCTCTGAGCTACTTGGCATTCTTGTCCTCTGGTTCTTATGACAGAGAGGCAGGCACAGGTGATGACGGTGGCGCCGGTGAGTGCGCACCTGTGTGTGCCGCACCTGTGATGATGGTGGTGCTAAAGCCCTCCCACAGTGAGCTGCAGGGCCCTGGCCTCCCCCTCGCAGGCAACCAAGGGCTCGGAGCCCCTGAGGAGCGTGCCATCAATAAACACAGCACAGGTGCCGTGGAATTCCGATCAGAAAAATTTATATTGTGAAGTCAGATATTATATGGTGGGAAATAAATACACAGAAATCGTCAGGCAAACTCCCAGCAGCTGGGCCCGCATCAGAGGCAGTAAATGAGCTGAGTCCATCAATCACATTTACGACCAGCCCCAGCGCACACTCGGCCAGCACCGCTCCCACGTGTGGCCGGGTCAGCGGCTGGTTGCTGCAGGCAGGGACCGGGAAGCAGTGAGGCCAGGGTGTCCCTGGAGCTGTGACTCAGCGGCGTCTGCGCCCGGGGTCAGCGTGCACATCCAGGGTCAGCATCCACACCCGGGGTCAGCGTGCACGCCCGGGGTCAGTGTGCATGCCCGGGGTCAGCGTGCACGCCCGGGGTCAGCGTGCACGCCCGGGGTCAGCGTGCACATCCAGGATCAGCTTCCACGCCCGGGGTCAGCGTCCACTCCTGGGGTCAGTGTGCATGCCCGGGGTCAGCGTCCACGCCCGGGGTCAGCGTCCACGCCTGGGGTCAGCGTGCACGTCCAGGGTCAGCATCCACACCCAGGGTCAGCGTCCATGCCCAGGGTTAGCATCCACGCCCGGGGTCAGCGTGCACGTCCGGGGTCAGCGTCCACACCCGGGGTCAGAGTCCACGCCCAGGGTCAGCGTGCACGTCCAGGGTCAGCGTGCACGCCCGGGGTCAGCGTCCACGCCTGGGGTCAGCGTGCACGTCCGGGGTCAGCGTCCACGCCTGGGGTCAGCGTGCACGTCCGGGGTCAGTGTGCACACCCGGGGTCAGCGTCCACACCCGGGGTCAGCGTGCACATCCAGAGTCAGCATCCACGCCACGCCCAGGGTCAGTGTGCACGCCCGGGGTCAGCATCCACGCCTGGGGTCAGCGTCCACGCCCAGGGTCAGTGTCCACACCTGGGGTCAGCGTGCACGTCCAAGATCAGCGTCCACGCCCAGGGTCAGCGTGCACATCCAGAGTCAGCATCCACGCCAGGGGTCAGCGTCCATGCCCGGGGTCAGTGTGCACATCCGGGGTCAGCATCCACGCCCAGGATCAGCGTCCACGCCCGGGGTCAGCGTGCACGTCCGGGCATGCAGGCAGGCTTGTGCTGTCTTCTTCTAAAGACGTATTTGTTTATTTATTTGAAAGGCAGAGTCAGAGAGAATGAGAATCTTCCATCTGCTGGTTCACTCCCCAGATGCTGCAATGGCCAGGGCTGGGCCAGGTCAAGGCCAGGAGCCGGGAGCTTCTTCTGGGTCTCCCACATGGGCACAGGGGCCCAAGGACGTGGGCCGTCTCCCACTGCTTTCCCAGGCCAGAGCGGAGCTGGATCAGAAGAGGAGCAGCCGGGACTGGAGCAGCCTGTGCCGCAGGCGGTGGCTTCACCTGAGGAAAGGGTTCCGGCCCCCACCTGGGGTAGAGTTCAGGAGAGGCGGAGGCTGCACTGGGTTCTCAGTAGGGAGACCCCAAACTGTGGCGCTCGCCACGCACAGCCCAAGCACACGAGGTCAGCACTCGGCTTTTCCTCGGGCGCTGTGCGGCCCGCACCCTGTCCCACGTCCCTCGCTCTGCCTCTCACTCCCTTGCTCTGGGCAACCCGCACTGCCTTCTGTGGGTGGCGGGGTCCAGGGGGTGGGGCAGTGGGGGGACAGTGTGGAGCTGGAAGCCTCGCCGGTCACACCCACCTTAGGGCTGCTCCTAAACTGTCCCAGGGATGAGTGAGCAAGTGAGTGAATGCTACACCCCAACGACACGGATCGTCCCTGCTGCCACGGTGCTGGCAGGAGCTTCTACCCACAGGACAGGAGGTGCTGATGGCACCTGAGACCATGCACGTCAAACCCAAACCCGGGGCCGGCGCTGTGGCATAGCTGGTAAAGCCACTGCCTGCAGTGCCAGCATCCCATATGGGCACCGGTTCAAGTCCCGGATTCTCCTCTTCCGATTCAGCTCTCTGCTATGGTCTGGGAAAGCAGCGGAAGATGGCCCAAGTGCTTGGGCCCCTCACCCACGTGGGAGACCCAGAAGAAGCTCCTGGCTCCTGGCTTTGGGTCAGCCCAGCTCTGTTTCTTGTGGCCATTTAGGGAGTGAACCAGTGGATGGAAGACTCTCTCTCTCTCTCTCTCTGTCTCTGTGACTCTGCCTTTCAAATAAACCCTGGCTCTGCCTTAAGGAACCGGGGGCTTGGAAGACTCTAGCTAACCCAGGAAGCGTGGTGTCAGAAATTAGCTGTCAGAAATTAGCTCCTGCAGAGCCTGGCCATGGTGGGTGCTCCACTCCTTGTCCTGGCGCTTCCAGCAGCCTCCCGACAGGACATCCTAGCATTTGTCAACTAAACAGCTGCACTCCAGTGACAAATGGAGTGCGTACAAATGTGCAGAGTCCAGAGAAGAGAGGACCGGGACTGGGACTGATTTCTCCTGAGTCGCAGGAACCCGGCCACAGTGTGTGGTCAGCGGGCCCCGTTACCCGGCAGACCCCCCTCGCCCTGGAAGCCAGAGGCCCCTGCGCAGCTTCCTGCGGGGCTGCCTCTCCACCCAGCTGCTGGGAAGCCCTTCCCTGTTCTTGCGGCTCGTCAGCGAGTGGCAAAAGGCAGTAATTAGACTCTCTGCTGTGCCCTGCGCTTGTAATTTGAATAATTCAGGACACTGGTGCTGGGAGAAAGAGCAGCCAAAATAGAACATCTCCCTGGCTGACAGCTGAGTAACCTTGAGCATCTGAACTAGAGCAGAGAGGGGTGGGCCCGGGACAGGGGCTGAGAGGATCCGGCCGGGTCTGCGGGACTCAGCTGAACCTCCTGCGGGTGTCTGGCGAGCCCCCTCCCGGCAGTGCGTGTGCCCGCGGAGCTGCCGAGCGCAGCCCCAGCCCAGCGTCGGGAGCCCGCTGCTGGTCCGCAGTGTCTGTCGCCTGCTGCTCCGAGCCACGCCAGGGCCCTCTGCTCCAGGGCTGTCGTCTGAGCAGGGCAATTTCATCAACCGTGCCCTCCGGCGCCGGGAGCGCCTGCGCCTGGGAAGTTGGCCCACTTTCTGTTTAGCAGGGAATCCCGGCTACAGGCAAGTCGCTTAATGAGGTTATCATCCAAGGGTCATCCCACCTGGAAGTCCATGACCGTAGCCTGCAGCCAGCGCCCAGCCATGAATGGTGAGGGCAAAGCCCCGTGACCCATGGCCCTTGCGTGGTGTGGGGTGGCCTCCCTGGGGACAGCCAGGTGTGTGGGCAGGACCGGCAGTCTGCCTGGTCCAGTGGGAAGCCCCCAGGGACACGGGCTGTGCGAGTCCCAGACTCGGCCTGGGCTTGTCACCGTGCACTGCCCTGCTTTGCTGTCTTCGGGGAGCCCAGGTCTGCAGAGGCTCCATGTCGGGGGGACACGGTGCTCCCTGTAATTGTGCGGGGTGCCGGGTCATAGGCGCCTCCCCGAGTGAGGCTCAGGAGGTGGCGGCACAACGGCCTCAGTCCCAGTCCCACAGGAGCACCCAGGCCAGGCCAGGGCACCCAGGCAGCTCGACCAGCACCCTCCCACGGTGCACTGGGCCCACGCGCGCTGCATGGAGCAAACGGACCCCCGGCCAGTTCTGTTCCCTCATCCAGAGGAGTTTGTCCTGGGGGCCACTGCGACCCTGGGCCAGGGGCCAGGACCACTGGACAAAGCGTGGCCCTGGGTGTGCAGCTGTTTTCCCAGGAGCACAGCCCCTGTCTTCCTGCTGAGACCCACACACGAGTGACAGCTTTTTAATGAGTGGCATGCACAGGCGTTGTAGGACAAGGACAGTGGCACGTGGCATTAAGGACGGGCCCCACACCAGCTCCAAGGGGGCTGTGGTCAAGAGCAGCAGTAGATGTGCCGGGTGGGACGGTGTGGGCCGTGGGGGGCACAGCGTGGGCCACGGGGAGGCCCCCACATCCTGCACTGGACTGGGTCCTCGGCAGGCTCCCATGCCCTGCACTGGACTGGGTCCTCACAGAGGGGCACAGCGTGGGCGGACATGCGCCAGCCCTGGTCCACACCTGCCAGTGTCTGCAGTGTGGGTCACCCCTCCCCAGGTGTGCATGAGAAGAGCTGATGCTGCGTGGAAGAGAAACGCTGACCGATGACAGAGCCGCTCGCCGGGAGAGGGCAGCCTCACCGGTGCCCCTCTGCCAGGCCCACGGGGAGGGGTTTAGTTTGCAAGGAAATTAGCGCAAATGAACCTTGGAAGGTCATGGAGGAGACCACATCTGAAGCAAAGAAGACGTGGAGCAAGGAGGGGAATTCCGAGGGTGAGGAGGGGCCGAGGCAGAGGGGTTTTGGGGAAATCGTGCTAAAGACCCGCAGAATTTGGGTGGTGAAAGGGTGTCAAGAAAAAGAACCCCCCACCCCCGAGGACTTAAGTGGCTGTCACTGGGAGGCTAAACGCAGCATGAATGTGATGACAAATCCTCCATGTGCGAGTCCTCTGAGCCCAGCGGTCAGGGCAGGGCACCCGGGACAGCAGCCGTGTCCTCTGAGCCCAGCGGTCAGGGCAGGGCGCCCGGGACAGCAGCACGGGTCCTCTGAGCCCAGCGGTCAGGGCAGGGCTCCCGGGACAGCATGGAGTCTCCTACACCCTCAGCCTCCCCCTGCCCGGGTGCACCCCCCCCCCCCGACACACAGAGTCCAGGGAAGGCGAGGGCGTGGTGGTTTCGGCTTTATTTGAGAAGAGACCCTACACAAACTATGTCGGAGGATACAGGTGCACACATGGTCTCACCAGTCCATACGTGGAGTCGTTAACGCAACACTGGAGGTGCGATGCCACGAGGAAGACGACGCACGCCAGGAGTATTTACAGCTCACGCGACGCGTTTCTACCGGAGTGGGTATTTACACATATACATGTGCATGTGCATATACATACATGTGTCCATACATACACACACGTATATACATATATATGTATAAAATGCTTTTAAACAAAAACCAAGAAAAGAGTTTGCCTTTCTGTGGTAGTGACCCTTTGAAAGCGGAGGATGGTGTGATGTCGTTGGTGCCATGGTGTTCGTCTGCCCACGGTGAACGCCAGCACCCGTGGGCCGTGAGAAGGACACGTGTCTGCCTTGGGGTGGACGCATGAGGGTGAGGGATGGGATGATGGGCACGGGCAGAGTGAACACGCACACGGGAGAAATGACCTTTGGTGATGCCACTGAATCATCCTTTTGTATTAAACATAAGTTATTAATACAGCTTAAAAAAATAATTTCTGTTTTCTCTTGAGGTTAAGGAGTGAGGAAGGTTGGGGTTGGGGAAGAGACACAGGGCGGGCACTCGCCCTTTCAACACGTCCCTCACGGCAGCCAAGAGCCTGCCTGGGCCACCTCCCGAGTCAGTGGTCTCAGAGATAAATGTATCCATGTCTTTTTGCATAAAGGACCCCTTCACGTGAGAGCTTTCTAGACCGTGAACCTCTTCTCCGAAGGCAAACGCAGCCAGCACCTGCACGAAATGGATTCTGTCTCCAGGATTCGCCCCATGCAAACAGAGCGAGCACAGTGCGGGCTCTGTCAGCAAGGAAGAGGGGCAGAAAGCGGCCCTTTAGTAAGACGTCTTCTCCTAAAACCCCACGGCCACCTCCGCAACGCAGGCGTCCACGTGATGGGGAGAGGCAGTGGCCCGGGGGAAAACAAGTCAGAACAGAATTGAGGAGCAGCCAGCTGAGGTCAGAGAGCACCAGGGAGCCCCAAACACCCCTCGGGCAGCATCTCCGTCAGGGGAGACACAGCCGTACGGAGCCCTGGCTAGTGTTCTCAGCCAATCCGCACGCTTCTTTCCAAACTCTGCCCGCAGAGCAGAGTGGCCTCTGGGCAGGTGTCCACAGGATTCCCACACATCCCGGGGCCACGTGCACCTGCTCAGCAGGTCCTGACTCCAGCTCACCCTTCCTGCCCGAGACAGTCTACCCACCTGGGAAACAAACACTTGGCGTGCACTCAGTACAAAGCTCGGTGGGCTGGGGGTTGGGCATGACAGCAGCTGGACGTCTCCTGCAGTCAGGGCCGCCCTGCACACTGGATCAGGCCCCGCAGGCCTCTAGGGTGAAAGTCCAGCAGGAGACAAACCAGTGCACACCCAGACCCAGAGAGAGCCCCCGGGGAGGGATTCCCTCGAAATCAGAGACATGAAGTAGTGCTCAGTTAAATGTAACTTTTATTCTGCTTTCAGCCTAGCTGTGAAAAGCTGTCCACGTAAAAGCCACACAGGTCCGGTGTGAGCTGGACGTTTGAAAGCCACTTGTCTGGAAAGCAAGTCCCCTTCATCCAGTGAAGGAAAGAGCCCACCTCACACAGCTCTGCTGTCAGAGCGCGGAGAGCACCGGACTTGGGTTTGCAGGCGTTGCCATCAGAGCCCAGAAGCCGGGCCAAGCTTGCCCCTCAAGATGCAGAGGGCTGCAGCGCCTGGGAGCACTTTAGGAATGCTCCAGAAAAAAGCATTTAGAACCTTGCAGGATTTTATTCTTGGGCCTTTCGCTTCTGAGCCTCCAGGGGCATCACCTGCACTTCTAAGGATACCTGCCCTGCCCGGTGACTGCAGACCCCGCCTCCCTAGCCAGGTGCACCCGCAGCTTCCGCTCTGCGCCCTCTGTGAGGGACACGCCCTTTGCGGCTGGCCCTGTCCATCTCCGTGAGGGACACGCCCTTTGCGGCTGGCCCTGTCCATCCACGTTCACTCTCCCTGACGCGGGGCCGTCCTTGATCCCAACATAAAACCACATGTCCCGATTTTAAAGAACAGTAGAGAATGTTTAGCCCTGCCCACACCAGTCTTCATACAAACATTCTAGAGAAACCCATGCCACAGCCTTTGTGTGTGCAGAAAGTGAACCCTGCAAGGGAGTTGCTCAGGAGGACAGGGACAGCGAGGCGGCTCCGCGGGCCCCCGGCAGGGTTAGGACTCGCCACAGCCGGCTCTGGTCTACAGGCACCACCTCATTTGTCCTTCAAAGGAATCTCCCCGGTCTGACCCTGCTGAGAGGAATCGCGATGAGCAAAGCTGACGAGCTGGGGCAGACAGAGGGGTGAGGGGTGTGCTGAGCCTGTGGCGGCACAGAGACAGTCAAAGCGGGCTTTCACCTGTTGGGGAGATGTCTGGGCGGCAGTCAGCCTCGCCCCAGCACCCGTCCCGGTGAATGGAGAGGCCGCTGATGCCCTGCTCAGAGCCAAGGCTGCCCCTGAGCCGACACTGTGCTACCGTGCTGTGTGGAAACGGGCAGTCACACCACGAGAGCCGGCTCTCCCCACCTCCTGCTCTCAGTGCCGTCCTGCAGTCCAGCTGGGGGCAGCCACACAGTGCTGGTGCTTTCTTCTCACGACTGCTTTAAGGCAGAAGCAGCTGCTGAGCAGGGCTCAGGTCCCCCGTCTCCAGATGCCGCACAAAGGCCCCCGGGGCTTCTCTGTCCTGAGACTCCTTAGCTTCCCCCCCCACCCCGCGGCGGGGAGTTTCACCAAATGCACACGAGCCAAACGTGGGCTTGTGCCTGCAGAGAAGAGGCAGCAAGTCTAAGAGGGACTGCCAGGACACAGCTCCCCACGCAGGTTCACAAGGCAACAGCCAATCCCAAGGTGCCCTGCCCTTGTCTTGGTGCCTCTTTCCACTCCAGTGAGACAGGAGGCCTGGGCGACCCAAACCCCAGTATTTGCTAGCAGGTTGAGAACTTGACAGACACAGCGAAGCCAGGCTGGGAGGGAATTACAGATGGAAGCACCTGAACCTGGGAGCACAGTCGCCCGTCAAAGCCCTTGACCGAAGGGCATCTGCTGTCCCTGGTGCTGAAGACAGAGGCCTGGGCTTGTCTGCTGTCCCTGGTGCTGAAGAGACCCAGCAATCAAGCAGAACTGACGTGGTCGGGTGGGGCCAGTGAGGAACTTGGCCATCATGCTGAGGTTCTGCCAGTTGTCCGGTGGGACAGCTCACTCGGGCCTCCTCACTCAGCCTCGTGTGCAGATAAAGGAGCCCTGTGCTCTGGTAGAAGAACACTGCTGTGGGTGTGGTGTCAGGGTCTCTCTCCTGAGACCCTCGGGTGGCACTGCTGTGACCTTGAACTGAGACACGGGCCTCTGATTTCACTGCCAGGCTCTGAGAAGCTGAGTGGGGACAGCACTGTGCCCCAAAGTGTCGCTCAGACAGCTACGCCCTGACAGCCCCCAGCCCTGCCCTGCACACAGGCACACGCACACATGAGAAGTCTCGAAAAGTAGAACCTACACGAGAAAGAACCAGCAGAACAGCACTTCTGTTTCCTTCACATTCAAAGCAAGAATTGTCCGGCCCCAACTTGCTTCCTTCCATTGCAATTGGACAGTTCCCCCAAGTTGACCCAGCACCACCCACACACATCACCGAGGACGTCCCTGATGCCGGTTCGCCTTGGCCGCCTTCAACACCGCGTGCTTAGGGCTGGGAACAGCAACTTCTCCTAGTTTTAAGAAGGAAATGGCGGCAGCCCATTAAGAGCCGGGCCCTTGTGAAGAGGAAGGAAGCAGCACTGGGACCAGTCCTTGCTGATGCCAATGCGTGCAGGGGTCCTTCCTCAGATGGGTGCAGGCCCAGCCTTGCCTCCAGCAGTGACCACGGCAGCCTGCCCCGTGCTGTGTGGGTGTCGCCTGTGACACGTGGCCCTGAGACAGCAGGCCTGGCCCAGCTGCACACCATCACGTAAACGTATTACCCAATCTAGATTCTCATGTCTAAGAAAGTGGGCACCCCGCCTGCTGGACACTCCAGGGGCCCCTAGAACAGAGGCCCAGCACTGCAAGGAGCACAAAAGCTGAGCTCAAGGGGCACTTGAGGAAAAGGTTCCAAACGCCCTAGGAGTCTACACAGCTTTATTCCCATTTCCCACTGGGCCAGCAAAACCCTTCCTTTGAGTCATGCACAGCATTTTGCCAGACACAGCTGAGCACTGCTTGGAGACAGAGGGAAATGACGCCCAGGGTGCTTAAGGGAGTGCTGCTGCCCCAGACACCTGGGTGATTGGGAGCTGGGTTGGGTCAGTGCTGCGACCTGTGGACTGGGCTCGGGTCTGCTCTCAGGGTTCCTTCTCATGTTCTCAGGGCCCCTGGTTCACACCTTCTGCTGGTGCTCAGGCTCCCTGGAGGGAAGCTGAGTGCCAGGGCATCGTGCAGCAGCTCTTCCCACATGCACAGGGACAGGGGCTCTGGAACGGCCCAGGACTGAGCTTGCACAGAGCACTCAGCACCCTCTAATAGCAGACGCTTTGTGTGGTCTTGGGTTGCAAACCATCAGGCTGGAATCTACAGAACACCATGCAGCCACAGGCAGGGGCCAGGACTCACGATGGGGGCCACAGCCCCGAGGTCGGGAGCAGCGCTCCCTTCCAGCTGAGCCCGTTAGGCAAACACCCCGTCCTGGCTGACATTTCCAGGAATTCTGCACGCCTGGGTGCTCAGGTCATGCTAAGAGACTTGTGGTGAGACGACGTCCAGAGACAGCAGCAGGTCTAAGGAAGGGGCCTCCCAACAGGGCTCAGGGCGAGGCAGCTCAGCTCCCAGCCCTGCCCACACGCACACAGGCAGTAGTTCCCCTTCACTGATCAGCAAACCAAGGCACAGAAGGGACCGTGCTCTGACCAAGTCCCTGGGCGGGGGCCAGGAAGGCACTGTCCTCCACACCCCCATCCTGCCACCTGCCAGGGCCACTCCTGTCCCGCTGTCAGTCGTGCATCAGGCCCAAGTCCTCCCTAAGGAACAGACAGATGTCTGGAAACATGAGGCGAAACCACGGAAAGAAGCAACATTAAAGTATCCCTGGAGTCATGAGAAAAAATATATTTCTTTAAGAACCCGCGGTTGGGTGAGACAGGAGGGGTTTGTACTTGTGTTTGGCGGAGCCATTCGGGACAGAGCGAAGCGTTGGCTGCTCGTGGTCTGGGCAGAGGCTGCGGCCTCCCAGCTCCTCAGCGATCTGCTCTCACTGCTCCCTGGCAGCTGCCAGGTTCAATCTGCTCTTCAAGTAGAAGCTGTTCTGTCCACAGTCAGGACTGCGTTTCATCTAAGAAGCTCCTTTCTCTCCTCGGGGCTGTGCAGCTGCTGCAAACCTGTGAGCCAACATTAGGGCCGCTGCTCTGCACATGCGTGGCCCATGTGGCCACCTCGGCACTGAACGCGTGCGTGGCTGACGGGGTGCGTGGGCACAGCGCCCCCTTCCCTGCACATACCTGGGAGGTCTGTGAAGACCACGGCTCATCACACATCCACATAGGCAACAGGTTTGAGGGCTGTGCACGAGGCCCCCTCTGCAGCAGCGGCCAGGGAGGTGCAAACGGGGTCTGCAGAGACGCGGTGGGGAGAGACGCTCCTGTCCCCACCAGAGACCTGGGCACGGCACAGGCTGGGTGGAGGCTCAGGCTGGGCTGGGACCAACAGACCTTCCCCGCTCTGGACGGGGTGGGGAGGGTGCAGGGGAGGATGAGGCGAGTCTGGAGTTCGGAGGGAGTCCAGAGGAGAAACTGAACATGCAGACGGCACGGACTTCAGTGTTGTGGGGGAGGGCTGCAGCCTTGCAGGCAGGGCCTTTAGATAAACAGCTCAGGGGTTCGAGGTCACTGCCCACAGCAACAAGAATTGCCGGGCTGGCCCCCAAACCAGAAGCTGAGGTGGATACAGGTGTGTGCCTGCTGCCCGTGCCTGCCTTCAACCGGGCAGGCGGAGGGGACCTGGCCCCCACCCGCCAGTGCCACTGCCCTGCACAGGGCTCCTCCTGCACCACACGCCACCCAGGCCCCCGCAGCTTACGCTCTGCACACTTGGGCTTTAAATCCAAGAACACCTCAGCCCACACTGGGGCTCAAGAGGCCACAGTGATGTCCCCCGAAAAGTAATGAAATAAACCCAAGTCAAAGCTCAGTTTGGTTTGTGTTTCTCCAAGAAACAAGTCCTGGCATTAAGGGGAAGGTTTTAGGAACTGGATTCAGTCTCCCTTGAAATGCGAGGCCCTGACTCCGTGAACAGCCCAGGGACAGACAGGCCAAGGCTGTGCCGTGACAATTCTGAGGTGGGCTGTACATAAGACACTGCACGTGTGACACATGCCTGCACACGCATGTGCTCCGTCACTGGAAGCAACACACACAGGTGCGTGAGTGGCTGCCACAGGTCTGGTGAGGCATCTGTGCGCACGCACAAACAAGAACGAGAACGCAGACGGCGCGGGCATCGGCACTGAGCTGTGACGCTGACGCCGCCGCAAGGCCACACAGGACTCCGCCCGACGCCAGCTTCCCAGGTCCACAACCTGCAGCCTGGGCGGGCACCAGAGCGCCTCCCACAGGGACGCTGAAGGAACTCCACGGAGACTGACTCATAAAGACAAGAGGAAGTAGGAAAGACAAGTTTTGAAAGAATCAGAAATGCTAAAAACCACGGAGAAATTTGTTCCCCAGACTTCTGGGTGAAATCTTCCAAAATCCTGAGCTAGATTCCCAGAAACGCCAGCACTGCCGTCTCATCGCCCCCACCTGCTCCGGCTGCTGCACGCCCGGTTCCCCACCGCCACCCCTCTGGGACAGCTCACAAGTGGGGGTCAGAGGCAGACCGCGTCCCCCAGGAGAGAAAGGAGCGGAGCTGCCCATCTGGTGGGAGCCCCTCCTGCACAGTCTCCCTCCCCACCCCCACCCCCGCTCAGCCGCATGGCACGTGGCGTCCGGTGCCTGCGGCTCTGAGGGCACGGGGAGCCCAGGGCAGGCTGTGGACCAGGGCTCACTCGCTCTTCATAAACCTTTGCCCTTTGCAGCACTGACGGCTACAAACCTGACGTCAGCAGAGCGGCCTCACGCCCTGGCCTGCAGTCCCCTGGCTCAGCATCGAGGTCAAGGGCCACGTCCCTCCCCGGGGTCAGAGCCCAGCCGTGGCTCCTCAGCTCCTGGAGGCAGAAAGGTCAGGGCGGGGGAGGGGCTGCCGAGGCCACCAGGGCTCCAGAGCAGACGTGTGGCGCCACAGCAGTGCATGCCAATGAGCGTGCAGCCGGGTTTGCCGCACAGAGGTTAATCTAGATGTCAGCGCGTCTGACAGCCGACATCCCCCCAGGGCGGGCTCCTTCCGAAGTCTTAATACCGCAGTCAATCCCTCCCAGCCAGGAACCTAAACCCTTCCGCGCCTGTTCTCTCCCTGTTTGAAGCCCAAACTGCAGGATCCTGGGACGGACCTCGCATGAGGACGTCCCCAGACTCCCGGGCAGCAGGAAGGGGGACAGGAGGGAAGGAGGCCGGGAGACAGGTCGCCCTCACCACAGCTGACTCGAAGCCACCTGCACTGGGCTCTGCGCTCACCCAGAGGCAGGTGTGCAGGGCAGGAAGGCACGGACAGGCCTCCAGGGAAGCCGTGCACGTGGGCCCTAGCCCTCGGCACATCCCACAGTCAGCATTCACACACAAGTCCCACACACCGGTGGAACACAGGCCACCTGGGGACCACCTTGACCCTGCCGCGGGGAACGAGTGGTGACTCAGCCCCAGACGTGCCCTGCTGTTGGGCCACGGCTCCACACACTGGGTGTCTTCTGGGTGCTCACAGTCCTGCCCCTCAGGGACCAGAGTCAGCCATCATCTTCCGCAAATGTGTGACCAGGACACATTTCACATGGGACTAGGAGAGCTAGCGAGGGGACTCTGGCTTCTTCATCTGAGACTCCCAAGCACTGCTAACTCCACCAACCTCACAGGAAAATGCCGGGTGCTGCCAGAGACAGACCTGCTGCAGAGCGAGCAACGGGCAGTCAGGGACGCTGTGCGGTGGGGAAGGCACCAGGCAACTGGGCCCTGCCTGCAGCCAAGACCAGGCCCAGGGCTCGGGTGTACACAGGGCCAGCGCACACCACGCCCAGGGCTCGGGTGTACACAGGGCCAGCGCACACCACGCCCAGGGCACGTGCCACGCCCAGGACACACACAGCCCAGGACACATCCCACATACCATGCAGAGCACATGCCATACCCAGGACATACGTCACACCCAGGACACACATCACACCCAGGACACACATCACACCCAGGGTACACACCACACCCAGGGTACACACTATGCCCAGGGCACACATCACACCCAGGACACACATCACACCCAGGGTACACACTACGCCCAGGGCACACATCACACCCAGGACACACATCACACCCAGGGTACACACCACACCCAGGGTACACACTACGCCCAGGGCACACATCACACCCAGGACACACATCACACCCAGGGTACACACCACACCCAGGGTACACACTACGCCCAGGACACACACCACACCCAGGACACACATCACACCCAGGACACACACCACACCCAGGACACACATCACACCCAGGACACACATCACACCCAGGGCACACACCACGCCCAGAACACACATCACACCCAGGACACACACCACGCCCAGGACACACATCACACCCAGGACACACATCACACCCAGGGCACACATCACACCCAGAACACACACCACGCCTAGGAAAACACCACACCCAGGACACACACCACGCCCAGGACACCCATCACACCCAGGGCACACATCACACCCAGGACACACATCACACCCAGGACACACACCACACCCAGGACACACATCACACCCAGTACACACACCACACGCAGGACACACACATCACACCCAGGACACACACATCACACCCAGGGCACATACCACGCCCAGGGCACACATCACACCCAGGACACACATCACACCCAGGACACACACCACACCCAGGGCACACACCACACCCAGGGTACACACCACACCCAGGACACACATCACACCCAGGACACACATCACACCCAGGACACACACCACGCCCAGGACACACATCACACCCAGGACACACATCACACCCAGGGCACACATCACGCCCAGTACACACACCACGCCCAGGACACGCACCACACCCAGGGCACACACCACACCCAGGGTACACACCACACCCAGGACACACATCACACCCAGGACACACATCACACCCAGGACACACACCACGCCCAGGACACACATCACACCCAGGGCACACACCACACCCAGGACACACATCACACCCAGGGTACACACCACGCCCAGGACATGCATAGCACCCCCTTGACTCACGTCTCTGTCCCAGCCCTGGTACTGGTGATGGTAACACCAGGCCCTGACGCGATGTGGCCGACAGGTCTCCCGAGGGGTTTCTAGTGCTCAGGATGTCATTGTCAGCACCCTGTGGTTCAGGGGCACCCAAGACCACTCCCAAAATGGCAGATTTGCCATCAGAACCTTCCGAGGGCCTCTCAGGCCAGTCCACCCCGGGCGCCAGGAAGTCTAAGGCTCAGCAAGAACTGATTGGAATTCTCCTCTAAATCCTCAAGAATTGGCCCAAATGCATTATTTGGTATCAAGAAGGCAGAGCTCCAGAAACCACGGCTCAGTGCCTGCAGCACCTATGGCCTGGGCCAGAGGTGGGTGCCCCCTTCACTCCCCCACACACGAGGTGTCAAGCAGCTCAGCTCCCAGCCAGTGGGCACCCAGGAGAGGTGCGGGCAGCAGGACGGCGTGCTCAGGACACAAACATACATAGTTCCACGCACCAGACTCCGAGTGACACCCAGGAAGACGGCAGTCCACCTGCCCCCACGGCGCCCGGCACTTCACAGCCCGCATGGAGGTCTCGCCCTGCCGAGGGCCTGGCTCCATCCTGGGTGTTTCTGTTGGTGTTGAGTGGGGAAGGACAGCCCAGCAAGGGTGGAGGCGGGGCCGCTCGGTCTCCCCCTGAAAGGCTGAGACGGTGCCTCCCCTAGTCTCAGCTTGGAGATACTGAACACCTGTCGGCGCAGGTGCCCGCCTGACTCCTCTCGTCAGTCCTCGCCCCGACAGCCCCGCCTCCTCCCTCCTTACCTTTCACCAGATCTCATGTTTTTATGAAAGTGAGGACTCCTATCCCGCCCTCCTCACGGTCTCAGGGACGAACTCCAGCCAAGGTCACGTGGCTGAGGAGGAGGAGCCTGGAGCCCAGTGGTCACCCAGCTGCCCAGCTCCTGAACCCTGCGGTCCTTAAGGGCCCCTGCGCACCGGCTCCCTCTGACCTCTGAGCTGAGTCTCCCGTGGCCCCAGACAACACTGGGCTTGGTCTCTGAAGTGTTTAGCACCAAAACGCTTGCGCTAGAATATTCCACAGGGGAAGCGTCAATGGCCAGTCTGTCCCCAGGGAATCTGTGCATGGCCTGCTTGGGGAAGCCCCCCTTGCCGGTCCTTTTTCTCTTACTCGGGGAGGCCCAGAGTCCAGAAAGCAGAGGGCAGTGCTGGGGTCACATTCGGAGAACCGGGAGGACCCCTGGCCTGGCGCCCGCTGCAAGGGGAACACCACAGAAGTCACTCATTCAGGCGGGGGGCAGTCTGGGGGCCCTGGAGCTCCGTGAGGCCCAGCTCCCACCGTCCACGTGGCACAGCCCAGGCTGCTGGGACAGGCTCTTACCGAGTCAAAGGGACCTGGGCGTCCTCGCATACGTGGAGGGTGGCAAGGTGTCCTCGGCCTCGGGCAGCCCTGACAGGCACACGAGAGAAGGGGGAGTCTGGAGAGAACCAGCCCTGCCCAGCTCGGTGACACTCAGAGGCCCCTGCCCGGCCCTCCGGGGGCCCTGAGCACAGTGAGGGAGGGAGGAAGGGCCGAGACTCGGACAAACGTTCTGCTGCTCAGATGGGCAGGGAGTGACGCCCTGTAGAACCCAGGCCAGCAGAACAGCCGCTCTGCTCCCTCACTCTGCAAAGCCACTCACGCCTTACCTGTCCAGGGTCGTAAACCGACACGCGTGGAATCCGCCAGCATAGACGGCGGGGGTGGCGGGGAGGCAGCCCTGCCCCCCTCTCCTGTCCACAGGCAGCTGCTGAGCATGGATGCAGCCAAGACACCACCCCCACGCCACGCGGACGCCTGGGGCTGCGGCCTCTGGCCACGTGCCCTGTCCCCAGGGCCCCTCAGAGCCCAGATCCCACCGTCCTCTCCTCCTCCCCCCAACCTCAGCAACCACGAGGTTCCAGGAATGGCCAAGGCAGAGCCTCACTCAGTTCTGGGTTGGACGTGGGGAGGCAGTGAGGGGAGCTGAGGGGCCTCCCTTCCCATCAGAGACCACCTACCCTGAACCCCTCCCCGTGGTCACTGGGGTCAAGAGCAGGCTGCACCCAAGACCTCCAGGTGGACAGAGAGGGGCCATTGCCACGGCACTCAGCACATGGGCTCCTCCCAAGGTGATCAATGCCGAGAGCTGTCCCCAGAGGCCCCAGCTCCTCACCTCCCCCCTCCTCCCTCCTGGCCAGGCCAGCAGAGCAGCCCTGCAGAGCCCTGAACCCCACGTGGCTGCAGTCAGCGTGGCTCGTTTCTACTTGAAAAAACACATCTGTGGGTTAGACAGGGAAGCAAGTGCTCTCTCTCTCTCTCTCTCTCTCACACACACACACACACACACACGGAGGCCCATGTGTCCTGCTTCTCTGACCTGCCAGGCCCTCCAGCTGGCGGGGAGGGCAGGGCAGAGGGCGCTGGGAGCTGCAGGTGGGCCAAGGCCAGTCCCTCAGGCGCTCTGTGGAGGGGCAGGCGAGGCTGAGGGCAGGTGGCCTGGGAGGGGCACGGCCTTGCCTCCCAGGCAGGGGGCCCTGGGTATCAAGGTGTGTCAGAGGCCAGCAGTTCCCCACCCCACCCCCACCCTTGCAGCTGGGAGAGCAGGGACTCCTCGTGCAGGGAAGAGGCACCCAGACCTCCACTCCTCCTCCCTGCTCAGGGCTTTGTCCTCCCGGAGAGGCCAAGCCTGCGGCACTGGCTGCTGGACGCCTCCCCACCCCCAGCCCCAGCGGCGACTTCCCAGCGCTATTTCACAGCAGCTTGGAGCAGCTGCGTGAGCCCCGCCGAGGCTGAGACATGAGGAGACTGCCGAGGGCCCGAGTAGGTGCCAGGCGGGGCCCTCCGGCCACGTCTTGGCCCTGCACTGCCTGGCACCAGGAGCCATGCTGCCCCAGCCCTAGTGCCTCCCAGGGGTGGAGTCAGACGGGCACCCCGGCTACACAGCCAACACGCCGCTCTGTCCCGGTGCCTGCACACTGGCAGACCACAGTGCACCTGTTCCCAGCCCCAAACTCCTGGAAGCCTGCGCAAGGTGGGCCAAGGCCCTCCCGATGACGGAGCGAGCAGCAGTGCCTGGTTGGGTCCAGCTTCAGCTCTCTCCTTCTGCAGCCCTTCCCACGCAGGAAGTGCAGTCCCTGAGGCTGGGGATCGGAGCCTGGAAACCTTCGTGGCCACGCCCAGGCTCCACGCCTCTGCCGCGGGAGCCCTGGATCTGCGGTGCTTGCTCAGTGACCGTGGGCGCCGCCTCTGATTCCCAAGGCATTGGATCACACTTTCTGGAAGGGACACGTTAGGAACTGCCCGGAAGTGGGGGGAAGGGTGAGGGGCGGGGGCAGCAGTCAGTGGCCATGGACGCCCTCCTGGCGCCTCCCCTGCGCAGCGAGTCCTGTGTGAGACGCTCGGAGCTTGGCGGCAGCCCCCATGTGTCCCAGCAGCTGTGTAGACGGACAGACAGACAGATAAATAGAGATGTGTAGATATTCGCCAGGCTGCCTTGCGGGGGTTTCTCTCGTCTTCTGTCCTCAGTGTCATATATGTAGCAGGCACTTGAGTTTCTATGAAGGTGTTTGCCTGGGGAAGGGCTGGCAGGGAGGGACACGGGGCGGGTGGGGAGCAGCCGGGGCCGACCCCTGACCGCCAGCCTGCGCTAGCCCAGGATGTCCAGGTAGATGGGCGTGGCCTTGCCCAGCGCGTGCAGGATCTTGTAGATCTCTTTGACGTTCAGCCGCTGCTGAGGCTCCCGCTGCCAGCACCCCAGCATCACGTCGTACACCTCCTTGGGGCAGACGCGCGGCCGCTCCAGGACGCGGCCTTGCGTGATGCACTCAATGACCTGGAAAGAGGAGCACAGAGGGGGTCGGCCGCAGCCCCAGCCCCAGGCCAGGGTTCTGCAGGCTTCCCGTGCCTGGGCCACGGGGGAAACCAACAGCCCAGCCGCGCTGACCACACCACCCACCCCCGTCTCAGGGACCCGCATCCTCCCCGCACCGGGGAGACCTGCTGTCTGTCCAGCCCCCACCTCTCAGGAGCCTGGAGCGCCACCCAGGTCTCCCACGTGGGTGGCAGGGCCCCAAGGACTCGCGCTGTCACTGCTGCCTCCCAGACGCACAGCAGCAGGGGCTGGGTTGAGCGTGGAGGTGGGCGGGCAGCAGGCACCACAGTGGCCGTCGGCTGCTCCACAGCCCGCTCCGCGGGGGCTCAGAGCTTCGCCAGCCCAGGGGCCAGGCTGCCTCCACCCTGTGCAGACCCGAGACCCATTTCCACCCCCCTCACCTTCTCCACGAGAAAGGAGCGGGGATTTAATGCAGCAGCTGCTGCTGACATCAGAAGGGTAAAGCAGCGTCCCCGCCTCGGTGGACATCGGGTGGTCAGTTTCCCCAGGGAGACCCCTGCTAGTGCTGGCCAGCACCTGGTGCTACAGGGGAGGGCTGGGCGTGGGCAGCCTTAGAAGGCATCGAGGGTGCCAGGGTCCAGCTCTACACCCAGGACCACCCTCAGTCCAGAGCCTCTCGTGGAGGTTGTGTTCAGGTGCACGCGTGTGTGTGTGCACGCTCCTGTGAGAGCGCATGGACATGTGTGTGTACAGTTGTTCAGGTGCACGTGTGTGTGTGCACACTCAGAGCGCATGGACATGTGTGTGTACAGTTGTTCAGGTGCACATGTGTGTGTGCACGCTCAGAGCACATGGACATGTGTGTGTACAGTTGTTCAGATGCACATGTGTGTGTGCACGCTCAGAGCACATGGACATGTGTGTGTACAGTTGTTCAGATGCACATGTGTGTGTGCACACTCAGAGCGCATGGACATGTGTGTGTACAGTTGTTCAGGTGCACACACATGTGTGTGTGCACGCTCAGAGCACATGAACATGTGTGTGTACAGTTGTTCAGGTGCACGTGTGTGTGTGCATGCTCAGAGCACATGGACATGTGTGTGTACAGTTGTCCAGGTGCACGTGTGTGTGTGCACGCTCAGAGCACATGAACATGTGTGTGTACAGTTGTTCAGGTGCACGTGTGTGTGTGCACGCTCAGAGCACATGGACATGTGTGTGTACAGTTGTCCAGGTGCACGTGTGTGTGTGTGCACACTCAGAGCGCATGGACATGTGTGTGTACAGTTGTTCAGGTGCACATGTGTGTGTGCATGCTCAGAGCACATGCACATGTGTGTGTACAGTTGTTCAGGTGCACACACATGTGTGTGTGCACGCTCAGAGCGCATGTACATGTGTGTGTACAGTTGTTCAGGTGCACGTGTGTGTGTGCACGCTCAGAGCACATGGACATGTGTGTGTACAGTTGTTCAGGTGCACGTGTGTGTGTGCACGCTCAGAGCACATGGACATGTGTGTGTACAGTTGTTCAGGTGCACGTGTGTGTGTGCACACTCAGAGCGCATGGACATGTGTGTGTACAGTTGTTCAGGTGCACATGTGTGTGTGCACGCTCAGAGCACATGGACATGTGTGTGTACAGTTGTTCAGGTGCACACACATGTGTGTGTGCACACTCAGAGCACATGGACATGTGTGTGTACAGTTGTTCAGGTGCACATGTGTGTGTGCATGCTCAGAGAGTATATGGACATGTGTGTGTACAGTGTGACTGGTCCCTCGGAGGAAACAGCCACAGCGTTTAGAAAGTGTTTAGAAGCAGCCACAGTGTAACAAGTGGGCCCTGACATGCACTCCTCCTAACTTAAAAGGCTGCTAAGATGTTTGTCCTGCCGAGCTTGTGAACAGCCCAATTAAAGGTCTAAATGCCTCCTATCAGCCTTTAGATTCACTTAGCAAACAGTCAGCTCAGAGGAGAACGGAGAGGACCAGAGCCCAGAGCCACGCTTGCCCGAGTATTCCCGGGAGGTCCGATACTGACGGCCACCCAGGAAGTGGACGAAGCCCAGCAGCCGCACGGCACCGAGCCTCTTACTGCCCACAAGGTGCAGTAAGCCCAGGGCAGCAGGGCTCCGGCCCAGCCATCCCGAGAGCATCCTGCTGGGCTGTGTGGCTGTGCGGCTCTCTCCCTGCCCAGGGCTCCCCGAGACCCTGGTCCACCCACTGCAGGCCCCAGCTGCCCCCTTCTTGAATTGTTACTGCCTCGTTACAGCGGAAGCAGAAGGCACCAAATGTCGGCTACTAATAAAATGCTCACTAGTGCGTATTACTAGTATTGCACATTAGAACGACAAACGTGCCCCCCGGTTTATTATCATGTTTGCTGTTGGAGGCACACGTGGCTGCAGCCCCTGTGTGAAATCAGCCCCACACCCCCTCCTGTGGTGCCCCCGCGCACAGGCAGCCGGGGCCCTACCTCCGTGTTGGAGAGCTGGAACCATGGCTGCTTCCCGTAGGTGAAGATCTCCCAGAGGATGACCCCGAAGCTCCACACGTCACTCTCGGTCGTGAACTTGCGGTACATGATGCTCTCGGGGGGCATCCAGCGGATGGGGAGCATGGTGTGTCCCCCCACCTGGCGGGCAGAGAGGGCACCGCATGAGCAGGAGCCAGGGCCTGCCTGCCCATCCACATCCTGCCCCCGCGATGCGCACCGGGCGCAGACGGTCCCAGGACAGACGCAACCACACCCATCACCACCAGGGCCCTGCAGTGGCCGTGGGAGGGGGCGGCAGAGGGAAGGTATACTTCCTCAGCACCAAGCTGAAGCGAGGTCCCAGCTTCGACCGCGGGAGATTCAGAGCTGTTCCCTGACCGGAGCCCGACTCTGCCAGGGCACCACCCCTCCCACGGGTGACTGGGGCTTCTGCCCAGGATTCAGCACCCAGCGCTGTGGGTGAGGGGAATCCAGCGGCAGGGGAGACCACGGGGAGGACAGTAGTGGGCAGGCAGAGGGTCTACAACAAGGCCAGCCCCAGGGAGGCCTTACGTTAGCCCCGGAGGGCGCCAGGCACACGTGCCTCACAGATCCAAGGCCAGGGCAAGAGGAAGGGGCAGAGGGTGAAGGTCAGGGGACCTCAAGAAAGACGAGACCCGCCGTGCAGCAGTGCCCTGACAGAGCTCTCTGCACACGTCTGTGTGGACTCAGCCCACGTCCTCGTGTCCCTGGGGGCAGGGGAGGGGCAGACGGAGGACAGCGGGGAAGGCCCCTGGGGTCTGCACCCACAGCCTCCGTCAGACTCTGGGAAAACGTGAGAAAGATCCCAGAAGCACAGTGACTGGGACGTCACAGAAGCTGCCAACAAGCCGACCACAGAGACGCCAGTCCGTCCAAGCAGCTGCCGCAAACTGGGAGGGGCCATGCTGACAACAGTGGCTTCCTGTGAGTGGAACAGGACCCGGGCCCATAGCACCACCACGGCACCACCAGGGCGCCTGGCACACACCTGTCGGGAATGCAGCCTGCAGATAACCCCAGCCTGGGGGACCCGAAGGGACTCAGCCTGGCCAAGGCCCCGGGGCCGCTCGGGGCGGGGGAGGGGACCTGCGGCTGACCATGGGCTCTGCCAATTCACACCCAGCATGCCCGCTGCTAAGGGGCACGGCCGCTGCACCACGGCTTCCAAACCCGAGACCGAGCCAACGTGAAGAAGCAGGATGGGATGGAGAACAGCGGCCGTCCCCCGACAAGGAGAAAAGGGGACACACACTCCGCCCAGGAGCAGAGCCCGGGGAGAGCTGGCGCCGGCTGCACGAGGACAGCCCTGAAAACAAGAGGGCAGAGATCGCGGGGCGGCACAGAAGTCGCAGGACGGCCTCGCACGTGCACCTGACCTCTCCTGGGCCCTTTTCCTTGTTTGTCTTCTGTTATTTGAAAGGCAGAGGGGCAGAAAGACAGACACAGAGACAGACCTAGAGAGAGGCACCGTCCATCCGCCGGTTCACTCCCCAGACACGCATGACAGCCAGGGCTCAGCCAGGAGCTCACCCAGGTCTCCCACATGGGTGGCAGGGACCCTCCTAGGGCGTCAGCAGGAACCCAAAGTGGACTGGGACTTGAGCCCAGGCCCCCTGATGTGGGGCCCCACAGCACCTTAGCCCCCCAGATACGCGTTTCTTTCACTGTTGGCTTCCTGTACATTTTGTAGTGTTTCACATACACATATAGAAGAAATTCAGAATGCCACGAGAAGTGAAGACAAACTCCCCTGTCACACTTGGAGATGGGGAGACCCAAAGACCCGTCATGGTGATAAGTATGACTTTTACGCTCCAGCTAATACATGACAGTACATAAACGTCACATATGCATGCAGAGAGAATGTGCGTATGTCAACACAGGTTATAGATGAAAAAATGACAAAGCTACCACTAAATTGAAAACTAAAACATTTTTCACAAATTAAAAGATCCAAGAAGACAACATAAATAAAGATGCATTTTAAACACACAGTAATGAGTTCCAGCGAATGGATGAGAACTGTGACTGCGCATGTCTGCCACTTCTTGCGCTGTATATGCTGTTACCTTAAATCACCTACAAATCCATGTAAATTAATCACGGACTCAGCCCCGAAGGAAATCTCACATTCCAAGAGAAAACACACACACACAAAAAAATCTTTTCTCTGTATCAAATAAAATGAATCAGAAATTAATAACAAAAGGATATTTTTAACGGTTCTGCAGCCAATTCAAAATAAACTAGTTGGGAGAGGAAAAAATGAAAATTAAATTTAAAAACATTCATTGCAATAATAATAAATAAAATCCTACTCATGGAAAACAATGGCACATAGCTGAAGTGATCTGGGGGAAATTAACACCATTAATCATTTATTTTACATGTAGCTAGAATCAGGATTCAACACAGAAGAGAACAAGGACACTCAGAGCACACGTGATTCAAGCAAGTGGACATACATGGCACAGTGAGGACAGTCAGACCATGGTGAGGACAGTCTGACCATGGGGTGAGGACAGGCTGACCATGGTGAGGACAGTCTGACCATGGTGAGGACAGTCTGACCATGGGGTGAGGACAGGCTGACCATGGTGAGGACAGTCTGACCATGGTGAGGACAGTCTGATAACGGGTGAGGACAGTCTGACCATGGTGAGGACAGTCTGATAACAGGTGAGGACAGTCTGACCATGGGGTGAGGACAGTCTGACCATGGTTAGGACAGTCTGACCACAGGTGAGGACAGTCTGACCATGGGTGAGGACAGTCTGACCATGGTGAGGACAGTCTGACCACAGGTGAGGACAGTCTGACCATGGGGTGAGGACAGTCTGACCACGGGTGAGGATAGTCTGACCACAGGTGAGGACAGCCTGACCATGGGGTGAGGACAGTTTGACCGCAGGTGAGGACAGTCTGACCATGGTGAGGACAGTCTGACCATAGGTAAAAAGTCTGACCGCAGGTGAGGACAGTCTGACCATGGTGAGGACAGTCTGACCATGGGGTGAGGACAGGCTGACCATGGTGAGGACAGTCTGACCATGGTGAGGACAGTCTGATAACGGGTGAGGACAGTCTGACCATGGTGAGGACAGTCTGATAACAGGTGAGGACAGTCTGACCATGGGGTGAGGACAGTCTGACCATGGTTAGGACAGTCTGACCACAGGTGAGGACAGTCTGACCATGGGTGAGGACAGTCTGACCATGGTGAGGACAGTCTGACCACAGGTGAGGACAGTCTGACCATGGGGTGAGGACAGTCTGACCACGGGTGAGGATAGTCTGACCACAGGTGAGGACAGCCTGACCATGGGGTGAGGACAGTTTGACCGCAGGTGAGGACAGTCTGACCATGGTGAGGACAGTCTGACCATGGGGTGAGGACAGGCTGACCATGGTGAGGACAGTCTGACCATGGTGAGGACAGTCTGATAACGGGTGAGGACAGTCTGACCATGGTGAGGACAGTCTGATAACAGGTGAGGACAGTCTGACCACAGGTGAGGACAGTCTGACCATGGTTAGGACAGTCTGACCACAGGTGAGGACAGTCTGACCATGGTGAGGACAGTCTGACCACAGGTAAGGACAGTCTGACTACAGGTGAGGACAGTCTGACCACAGGTGAGGACAGTCTGACCGTGGTGAGGACAGTTTGACCGCAGGTGAGGACAGTCTGACCACAGGTGAGGACAGTCTGACCACAGGTAAGGACAGTCTGACTACAGGTGAGGACAGTCTGACCACAGGTGAGGACAGTCTGACCATGGGGTGAGGACAGTTTGATAACAGGTGAGGACAGTCTGACCACAGGTAAGGACAGTCTGACCGTGGTGAGGACAGTTTGACCGCAGGTGAGGACAGTCTGACCATGGTGAGGACAGTCTGACCATGGGGTGAGGACAGTCTGACCATGGTGAGGATAGTCTGACCATGGTGAGGACAGTCTGACCATGGGGTGAGGACAGTCTGACCACGGGTGAGGACAGTCTGACCATGGTGAGGACAGGCTGACCACAGGTAAGGACAGTCTGACTGTGGTGAGGACAGTCTGACCACAGGTGAGGACATCTGACCACAGGTGAGGACAGTCTGACCATGGTGAGGACAGTCTAACCATGGGGTGAGGACAGTCTGACCACAGGTGAGGACAGTCTGACCACAGGTGAGGACAGGCTGACCATGGGGTGAGGACAGGCTGACCGTGGGTGAAGACAGTCTAACCATGGGGTGAGGACAGTCTGACCATGGTGAGGACAGTCTGACCATGGGGTGAGGACAGTCTGACCATGGTGAGGACAGTCTGACCATGGGGTGAGGACAGTCTGGCCATGGTGAGGACAGTCTGACCACGGGTGAGGACAGTCTGACCATGGTGAGGACAGTCTGAACACAGGTAAGGACAGTCTGACTGTGGTGAGGACAGTCTGACCACAGGTGAGGACAGTCTGACCACAGGTAAGGACAGGCTGACCACAGGTGAGGACATCTGACCACAGGTGAGGACCGTCTGAACACAGGTGAGGACAGGCTGACCACAGGTGAGGACAGGCTGACCACAGGTGAGGACAGTCTAACCTCAGGGTGAACGCAGAGCAACATGGCAGGAATGGTAGCAGAGCTGGTGAGGGATACACAGGGGCCAGGGACATGCAAGGGCCCAAGGACACGCAGGAGGACACACACACATGGCGCCACGGTGCACGTGAAGACAGGGTCAGGGTTAGCACATGCGAATTATGAGTGAGCATCAACTCAGAAGCAATTAAAATTATAGAGAAAAATGTATTTAAAATGCAATCTCTAGATGGTTTTGTCAGTGCATTCTGCCAAGTTCTCTATTCCATTTGTACTTTTCTAAAGAAAACAGATAAATTTTTTTTCAAAACACTCTCTGCGACTTGAACATCTCTGATAACAAAACCAATGAAATTTAGCATAGACTGCTAAACACATGGAGACAGATACAGATATTTTAATCTACTTATGTGAGAAACTATTTCTGTTATGAATATAATATGAGTGAAGTGCGTCCAATCAGCAACATATTTCAAGAGTCACATATCATAGCTCAGTAAGGACGCATCAGCCCTAGGAAATGTAGGGTTAATTCACTGAAAATTCGGAGCTCAGGAAAAAAATCCATCCTTTCACAAGATGCCAGGAAAGCCCACAGCCCTTCCCGGTCGGGGTGCCCTCAGCTCGGCTCGGCTCGGACCGCTGTCCTCAGTGGCGAAACCTGGAGAGTGTCAGGACACGCACGGGCTAGCGCAGCGCTGCTCAGGAAGTGCCAGGCAGCAGAGCCGGCGTAGACACCGGAGCAGAGGCGCCGAGGAGGGAAACGCCGGGTGTCTGGCGGGGCGTGCGGCACCAAGCACCTGCGGGGTCAGCCAGCCAGCGGCCGACAAGAGGGACACAGAAGCCAAAGTATTCCCAAAGCGCAGCGCAGGCACTCAAGATAGAGCGTAGAACAGCGCTGTCCACGCAAGGGCAGCCAAAACTAAAACCTCTAGACATGAGCTTTAGCATGAAATGAGCAATATCTACTTACACCAAAGTGTTGAAAAATATAAAAAACCTAAACGAATATCTAAGTACCTAATATCTAAAATAAATGTCGTTTCCATGGAGAGAACGGAAAACCCTAAAGGTCTCATTCCTCCTCCGATTCGGCTAAATGTCAGCACCACTGCACGAAGTCCACGGGAATGGTGAATGCAAACCGCCGAGAGGGATCCCGGGTTCACCCCCGCGAACACGTGATAAACGCTGGGACTGCCTGAGGCTGGACACCGGGGAGGGCGCTCCACCCAAGAGCAAAGCGCTTCGTGGAGCTTCACGTGGCCGCGCGGCTCTGAGGCTCGAGGTGGACAGGGTCAGTGGGCAGAGTCGGAGCAGACTCATGCGGCCAATACACGAGATGAGGGTTAGTAACCGACGTGCCGGGACAACGAACTGTGCAGTGAGACGTACGCTTAGATACCTACCTCACACCATATACAAAAATCATTTCCCGATGGATTAAAGAGCTAAACATAAAAACAAAACAATAATAATATTAGAAGAAAACTTGGAAAAGCACCCACACAGCCTCAGGAGAGGACGGCCTTCCTAAATGAGACACGTGTTCAAGATTCAGAACTGCAGCTCACACTTAAATACTGCAGCAGGGAAAGGCAGCATAAGCAGACTTCAAGGACACGTGAGAGAAAACATCAGCAAGCAACGGAACAAAGGATTCAAACCCACACCGCACAGGTGCTCCTTCAAAGGAGAAAAGCAACTGAGTGGAGAAATGAGAAGAGGGTTAGAGCAGAGGGCCACGGCACAGCCACCATGGGCCACGGACACAGAGAGACCGTGTTATAGCAGAGGGCCACAGCACAGCTCCATGGGCCATAGAGAGAGAGAGAGATGGCGTTTGAGAGAGCAGGGGGACAGCACAGCTCCATGGGCCTCAGACACAGAGAGATGCGTTAGAGAGAGCAGGGGGACGGCACAGCTCCATGGGCCTCAGACACAGAGAGATGGCGTTAGAGAGAGCAGGGGGACGGCACAGCCACCATGGGCCATAGAGAGAGAGATGGCGTTAGAGAGCAGGGGGACGGCACAGCTCCATGGGCCTCAGACACAGAGAGATGGCGTTAGAGAGAGCAGGGGGACGGCACAGCCACCATGGGCCATAGAGAGAGAGATGGCGTTAGAGAGCAGGGGGACGGCACAGCTCCATGGGCCTCAGACACAGAGAGATGGCGTTAGAGAGAGCAGGGGGACGGCACAGCCACCATGGGCCATAGAGAGAGAGATGGCGTTAGAGAGCAGGGGGACGGCACAGCTCCATGGGCCACAGACACAGAGAGATGGCGTTAGAGAGAGCAGGGGGACGGCACAGCCACCATGGGCCATAGAGAGAGAGATGGCGTTAGAGAGCAGGGGGACGGCACAGCTCCATGGGCCTCAGACACAGAGAGATGGCGTTAGAGAGAGCAGGGGGACGGCACAGCTCCATGGGCTGTGGATGCATGGAGGGGCAGTGCTGAGATGGCAGGAGGCTGCTGTGGGAATCCCCGGGGAACACTGGGAAGGACAGGACCGCTGTCGAGGTTTTGGGGAAGGGGTTTCTCGCCACACTGCTGGCCAGGCCGTGCCGAGCCCACCTTGCTGAGTGCAGCCCCCGCAGCACCTGTAACCCAGCTGCGCTCCAGGGATCTGAGAGTTTGCTCTGGGAAGCAGAGTGTCTGCTGAGCGTGCCAACTTCCGTGTTTCAGTGCCAAGAGGACCCAAGGCTGAAGGTAGACTTGGGATGAGACGGCATGGTGCACTCACATGTGGACAGGCAGCACCCTCACGTGCGGACACGCAGCATGCTCACATGTGGACACATGGCACGCATACATGCAGACATGCAGCACACATGTGAAGAGGTGGCACACTCACATGTGGACACAGCATGCTCACATGTGGACATGTGGCACACTCACATGTGGACTGCAGCGTGCCCACATGTGGACACATGACATGCAGCACACATGTGGACATGTGGTACACTCACATGAGGACACGTGGCACACACACATGTGGACAAGCACAGAAGGTAGTACAGGAAAGGCATCCCTGGAGGACACATTCTTGTTCATGTCACATGTGTGTACAGACGAGCAGACACATGCGACACTATGTACATGTAGTCAGCAACAAGGCCAGGGAGCCGGGAGCCAGCAGGAGGCGGCCAAACCCCAGACTTTAGAGATTCCGTGGATCAATGAATTACAAAACCACACACTCTTCTCACGGGCTTTCCACGCACTGCTCAGAGGTGTATCGTGATCATGCATTGCACTGGAAATTTTAAAAATTAAAAATAAACAAGGAGACCTGATTTATGTTCTGTACTAAAGACGGCTTTTTTAAAAGAAATCTCCCATTAGCAACACATATGGTGGCTTGGCTTCCTGTGCCCGCTGTCTGAGTTGAAAGCACAGGTTAGGAAGAGGAGGACCCCTGGACATGGGAGCACTCTCCTGGCCTGGCCCGGCAGGTCCCGCCCCAGCAATGTCCGCCCCTGGCAACACCCCTGTGTAGAAGACCCCCAGACAGGAGAGCACTCTCTTCCCCTGGCCCAGCAGTCCTGCCAGCAGCAATGCTCCCAGGCCCCCCAGTGCCCCACCCCTGGCAAGGCCCCACCTCCAGCAACATCCCCAGGGCAGAGGACCCAGGTACACAGCTGCTGACCGCGGGGAGCCCCTCCGAAGGCTGCGGATGTGGGGGAGAGAGGCCCCATGGGGGCATCTGGGAGAGCCAGACCTCGCCTAGCAGTGAGGTCGGTGCTGCCATCCCCAGGGAGTGTGCTGAGGTCTTTGCAGGGCCCAGTGACATCACAGAAAGAGGAGAGACCTGGCCGTCACAGCCCAGGCTCCCAGCACTCAATCCCCCGGAACTTCACATCCTGGTCTGCACACCTGGAGTCCAGCAGAGGCCCTGCCCAGGTGGGACCGAGCTTATAAACCCTCTGGAATCCACTGAGCAGAGGTGTACAGGTGAGGACCACGGCTCACTCTGTCCTCCCACAGCACAGGACGGCGCCCCAGGCCCAGGCCCCCGAGGCCCAGGCCCCCGGAGCTCTGTCAGTCCCTTCCGGGGTGACCCGGTCATTCTCACACGTCCAAGAGATGCAGCCCAGCCAGACACAAGGTGGCCGGAAGTCACAGCCCCAGCCACAGGTGAGACACCCCGTCAGCAGTGAGGACCCCCAGATGCTGTGCTCGGCCACGCCCTGTCCCACGGGACGACAGCGTGCCCGGGCAGCCCCACGAGCCTCAGGAAAGCTTGGAGGAATGGGGGTGGACAGAGTGTGGGCACCTGGAGGAGGGCCCAGGCCCTCCCAGCCTCACACTCACAGGGAGCAGGGCTTGGGCGGCTTAGAAGCTGGTCTTCAGGAACCGGGGAGGGGGGTGTCCTAGACCCTGGGAACGCAGCCCCCACTGTGCCTCTGCATCACCCAACAGCCTCGCAGCGTTGCAGTGTGGAGTCTGCTGCTCAGAGAAACCCCGCCCCTGGCACACAGGGCACAAACCCTACCCCATTCCCCAGAGAAACCCCGCCCCTGGCACACAGGGCACAAACCTCCCTGTTCCCAGAGAAACCCCGCCCCTGGCACACAGGGCACAAACCCCACCCCATTCCCCAGAGAAACCCCGCCCCTGGCACACAGGGCACATACCCCACCCCGTTCCCCAGAGAAACCCCGCCCCTGGCACACAGGGCACAAACCCCACCCCGTTCCCCAGAGAAACCCCGCCCCTGGCACACAGGGCACAAACCCCACCCCGTTCCCAGAGAAACCCCGCCCCTGGCACACAGGGCACAAACCCCACCCCTTCCCCAGAGAAACCCTGCCCCCGGCACACAGAGCACAAACCTCCCTGTTCCCCAGAGAAACCCCGCCCCTGGCACACAGGGCACAAACCCCACCCCGTTCCCCAGAGAAACCCCGCTCCTGGCACACAGGGCACAAACCTCCCTGTTCCCCAGAAGGGGCCCAGCTCCACGTGGACACCAGGCTCGGTCAGCGGCAGGCAGAGCAGTGGCAGGAGCACCTGGGGAAGGCCCAGCCTCTGCGGCCTCTGGCCCTTGCGTCTGAACAGTCCCCTGGGAGCACCCATGACCATGCAGGAGCGCCCTGGCCCACAGTGAGGCTGCAGACACCGGGCCCCGGTTGGATCTGAACTAGGATAAATGGGCAGTTTTCAGCGCGTGCCCTACTTGCACTGCCACCATGGGCTCCACGTGCGTCCTCCCCTAACTGCTCAGCCCGGCGAGTCTGGATTGAGGCTGACAGAAGTCGAGGCTGCCCCACACCTCAGGACCCGGGGCCTCCCCTGCATCCTCACCTCCCTGCGCTGCAGGAACCTGAGTCAGGTGCACCTCGCACGGCAAAGCTGGTGCACCCTGTGACTCCAGGATGACCTCCGGCGGAACATTCCTCCAGCCCAGCGATGTCACAGCCACTGGCAATGGTCCACCACTGCCGAGAAACCTGGCCCTGCAACCACACAGCCCACTGGACCCCTCTGGGGGCAGGGGGAGCGTGCCTTCAGCAGCCGTCTGGCTGCACAGTGATCAGCCTGCCCAGGACAGGGTGCTTGTCGCTGCCCTGGTCCACCCTCACCTGGGACGAGCACCTCATCCCAGCAGGCGCCAAGGCTGGCAGCCAGAGGTCTGCTTTGGCTTCAGAAATGACATTAGCACTAGATCTTACCCCCCACACACAGACACACACAGACATGCATCACACACATACACTTAGATGTACGTGCAGACACACACAGACATGCATCACACACACACAGATGTACACTCAGACACACACAGACATGCAGCCCACACACATACACAGATGTACACGCAGACACACACAGACATGCATCCCACACACATACACAGATGTACACGCAGACACACACAGACATGCATCACACACATAGATATACACGCAGACACACACAGACATGCATCCCACACACATACACAGATGTACACGCAGACACACACAGACATGCATCCCACACACATACACAGATGTACACGCAGACACACACAGACATGCATCACACACAGATATACACGCAGACACACACAGACATGCATCACACACACATACATAGATATACACACAGACACACACAGACATGCATCCCACACACATACACAGATGTACACGCAGACACACACAGACATGCATCACACACACATACACAGATGTACACGCAGACACACACAGACATGCATCACACACATAGATATACACGCAGACACACACAGACATGCATCACACACACATACATAGATATACACACAGACACACACAGACATGCATCACACACACATACATAGATATACACACAGACACACACAGACATGCATCACACACACATACATAGATATACACACAGACACACACAGACATGCATCACACACACATACATAGATATACACACAGACACACACAGACATGCATCCCACACACATA